GGAAGGAGAAGCTGTGGTAGAGGAGGGTTGCAAAGTAGCTTGCAGATGTAAAGAAGCTATGGTCATGTTTAGGGAACTTAAATAAGATGCTCTGTGTGAGGTCTGTGTGAAAATTGCCTGACACTGAGATCAGCTGATCTACCGGGACTATAGCTGGCCTTCACTTTGTGGCCTGTTAGTTTAATAGAAAGATGCTGGTAGGTGGAGTTTGCCGCCATGTTGTTCTCTCTCCAGTTCTGTTGCAGCGCTAAGCTAAGAGCTAGCATATTTAGCACAAGTAACTAAAAAGCCTGATTAGATTTGGAAAACTATCCATCCATTTTCTTCCGCTTATCTGGGGCCGGGTCGCGGGAGCAGCAGCCTAAGCAGAGAAGCCCAGACCTCCTTCTCCCCAGCCACCTCCTCCAGCTTATCCGGGGGAACACCAAGGCGTTCCCAGGCCAGCCGAGAGATATAATCTCTCCAGCGTGTCCTGGGTCTGCCCCGGGGCCTCCTCCTGGTGGGACATGCCTGGAACACCTCGCCCAGGAGGCGCCCAGGGGGCATCCTTGTCAGATGCCCGAACCACCTCAGCTGGCTCCTTTCGATGTGGAGGAGCAGCTGCTCTACTCTGAGCCCCTCCCGAATGGCCGAACTTCTCACCCTATCTCTAAGGGAGAGGCCAGCCACCCTTCGGAGGAAACCCATTTCCGCCGCTTGTATCCGCGATCTCGTTCTTTCGGTCACTACCCACAGCTCGTGGCCATAGGTGAGCTTAGGGGCATAGATTGACCGGTAAATTGAGACCTTCGCTTTTATGCTCAGCTCTCTCTTCACCACAACAGACCGGTACAGCGTCCGCATCACTGCAGCCACTGCACCAATCCGTCTGTCGATCTCCCGCTCCCATCACTCATGAACAAGACTTAAACTCATCCACTTGGGGCAGGGTCTCGTCCCTGACCCGGAGTGGGCACTTGGAAAACCATTTGAAAATAATTAACATAAATATATTATCATTGTTTGGGCGGCATGGTGGTGCTGTGGGTATCACTGTTGCCTCATAGTAAAAAGGGGTTTGAATCCAGCCTGGACCTCCCTGTGCTTGCACACGTGTTAGTGATGTATGCAGGTGCGAATGTGTCTGTAATTTTTGTGAGGCCTGCAACAGACTGGAGATTTATCCAGGGTGTAGGAGATGGGCTCCGGCACTCTGGTGACCTTGGATTGGAAAAGAGGAACTTGGATTAATAATTTCTGTATTTGTCCTTGTAGATGCTAGAAACAAGTTTATTTGTCCTTCTCCAAACAAACATGTAACACAGGCTCTTTAAAGTTTGCAGCTTCTTGTATCCCAAAGGTCCAGGCTGAATATTGCAGTAATGTTTGCTGCTTGTGCATCTTCTGGGTTTTATGGGGCTTCATTGTACTGTTTTTGTGTATTTTGTACTTTATATAATATATGTGAGATTTCCCGTCTCACATATATTAAATGTGCACACAGGAGGACACACACGTACCTCCTGTTACCAAAATGTGCATAAAAATACACTAGAATGATCTCCAATTAGTTTAGCCATTATGTCTAAGTAAACATACAACCATAACATATCAGATATTAAAACTGTGAGATTTAATTCTGATTAGAAAATAGTTTATCTGTAATGTCTGCAATATATTTCAAAAGTGTAAGCACATAAGATTCTCACATTCATAGACAGCAGACATTCTTAAAAGCAAAATCTTCTATAAATGAGTGAAGAAACTAACAAATGGAGAGGTATCTGTTTAGTTGATATCCTACTGTGCTCTGGGTGTTAAGCTGCTGAGTAAGTGCCGATTTTACTTTAAGATGTTGAGAGGAAGCGGTCTAAATGACCTTGAAAGCGGGATTAATAACGGATCATGGAAGACAGCAGCTTTAATCACAAAAAGCGAGTTATTATTATTATATTTGGAAGAAAAGAGTCCTGTATGACTTATGCCAAGGAGCAGTGATGCTGCTTTCGTTTTTCCCTCAGTATGAAAGTGTTGTTCATGCGTGCCATCACTGATAATTTATTTTCCATCCTTAACTTTGCACTTCTTCTCTGCAGGTCAGCTCATCTCCTGTCCAGGTACCGCCCTCGCTGTCCGATCATTGCCGTCACCAGGAGCCCACAGGTACAGTCTGTTCTATGAACCAAAAGAAATATTACTTTTGTGCTGACACCTGGTGCATTTGTCTTACCATGAAAACGTGGCTTAGATCAGTGGTTCCCAAACTTTTTTCGCAGGGCCCCCCTCCAACCACAGACACCCATATTTTTGCTCAATTGCGGTTTATTTCACACCTCAAACATTTAGTAAACAGTTAAGCAAATACAAGTAATCTGCAGGTAGTAAGAAAATAAACTACTAACTCTTTTACGCTACGTCTGCACCTACACGGGTATTTTTGAAAACGCAGTGGTTTCGTCCGCACGTAAACGGTGTTTTGAATCACCGAAAACGGAGATTTTTTAAAACTCATTTCTTGCGTTTACGTGTGGGCAAGGAATACAGAGTTCTTGCAACGTCAAAGGTATGTGCCTTTTTTCACGTCAGCTGTGCGCCAATGGCAGATAGTCAGAGACAAAATACTGTTAATTTATCTTCAGGTTTTACACGCTTACATATAAACACGCAGTTACTGTCCCTCTATTTAGAAAGGCAGAGGCGTCAAGGTGTAATTATTTTACATGTAGTTGTTTTTTTCCTGTGTAATAATATTCAACATTGCTGTCAATACATTTTTAAAAAAAAGGCCTCTCTGTGCAAAATGGGTTTAAAAACATAAACAGCTGTGGGATGCTGTTAGTCCGTGATTTGAACCGGGGGAACAAATCGTGGGAGGATCAGCCTGATGTTATTTGTAATCCCACTGTAACTTTACTGTATAAAGAGCTAACATCTCCGAAATGTCAGGAGTAGTTAGTCATTACAACAAGTGTTTGTGAACTAAAAATCAAGAATGTGGGATACTGTTTGTCTGTGATTTGGAGAGCCCAGCGGTGCTCCCGACACAGGAAAGACCAATTCTGCAGGGGAGACCTACCTCGGCACTTGTGCAGGTGAAACCAAAGAGAAGATATCCTTCACCATATTTTCTAGTCTTTGGCTTAGAATGAAGTTGGTTTGGAAACATATTCAGCGATGCTTCCTCTCCTGCTTTGCGTTTGTGTGGGAGCCCCATGGTTGTTTTTTTTCCCCTTTTCATGCCGCGCCCCCCCTGCAATGGCTCTGCGCCCCACACTTTGGGAAGGTCTGGCTTAGATGATGATATCTCGCTGTTTTCAAAAGTGATTATTGTGCAATGTCCACTTTTGCTGTCTGTCGTGGTAAATTGTGACAGTGTTGTCAGACTGGTATCACCAATCTGGAGTATTTATTACCGACTGTATTTCTGTTTTATTGAACTTTCTTGTTCTAAGACCGGTGATCAAAGTGGGTTACACGGTCTTTAAAAAAAGAATCATGGTTTCCAATAATGTCAAAGCAATAATCAGGGTCAAATTTGATGGAGCACATGTGAATGCTCTGTAATAACCCCACACTATGGCTGGTCACTGAAATGAAGGCAGCTCCCCCTGACCTTCATTATTATGACGTCCACACTTTTTGATCAATCACAGGTCATCTTTTAGTATCAATAAAATTGTGGTGACAGAGTACAAAATTGGCATGTTTCATTTTTCTCAGTAATATTAATTAAAAGAAAAGAAAAATGAATATAACAATGACCATATTTTAAACAAAATTGCCTCATTCTGACATACTTTCATAGTCCTCTCTCTTCCTTCTTTAAATGTAAAAATAGGTCTCCATCTCCTGATAAATACATCTTTCTGAAGTTATTTGTTCAATCAGACAGATTTCCAAATCCTATTCAACCACACGTGCGATGTTGGAGGCTCGGATTTCCACCATCTAATTATAATGCATTTAATTGCTCAACAGTAATCGTAACAGATATTTACTACCTGCAGGAATCTTATTTTGATGTATAGCTAACTTTAGAAAAGACCACAGTATGTCCAACATGAGCCTTCCGGGCTCCATATGTGTATTTTATTATTTTGTGTTTGATTTTGATAGTTTTTTTTCTTTGCTGTGTTGTTTTCTGTTTTACTTCCTGTCTGTATGATTGTTTTCTTCCTCTCTTGTTCCCAGTCTCCCAGTTAGCCTTCATTGTATATTTATACACTCCTCTTTGTCACATTGTCTGTTTGCATTCCTGTTTTTACTGGTAAATATATCGGGGGATCAACAGACTGACAGACTATAAAAATCAATAACCACCAAGCAACTTGCAGTTATTTTATAATGTACCTATTCTTTTTTTCTCTTTGTCAGGTCACCCGTCAGTCTCAGCTGTTACGAGGCGTGTTTCCTGCCCTCTTCCACCCTCTGCCCGCTCCTGTGTGGGCTGACGATGTGGACAACAGGGTCAATTTTGGCATGGAAATTGGTCAGTCTGTGCTCTGTTCAGCCCGCTTGCAGTTCTTATATAATATAAGCCATATTACTCACATGCCCTTATCTCTCCAACACCACAGGGAAAACAAGAGGGTTCTTCAAGTCCGGCGACATGGTGATTGTGATGACAGGCTGGATCCCAGGGTCTGGTCACACCAACATTATGAGGGCAGTGAATGTCCCGTAACAACATGACCTCACTGGACTCTAAATCTAACAGAGTTGCTGGAGGTTCATTAAGAGAGCCTTTAAAATCTTTTAATGCACCAAAAAGCCAAAGAACCACCCCTAAAATCGAAGCAATAACCTCTGTCGAAAGCAGCAGAAACACTCTACTTAAAATTTGAGGTTATTATGAGGAAACACCTGGTCTAATAACCGCTCATATGAATGTACCCATGACTCCCTTCAAATAAAACTTGACTTTAACTTTAATACGTTGTTCTCCAGTTCTTGTCAGGACACAGGCTTCTGTAATTGAACTGTCCTGCCTCCTGTTTTCATATTGAAAGTGAAAGTATTGTCTCTGTGGCTGCCATTGTTGAAGTACATTGGTGCTCTTTATAGGATTTGGAGATAAGACTTTCATTCCTACCCAGAGTCCCAAGCTTATCTCTGTGCAGCGGCAATTTTTTTGGCTATTATGAGCAGCAGCCGATGATGCAGAGCTGACACCCCCTTTGTCAACTGAGATGACCCAGATGGCCACATCTGCATATTGCTCACCCAGAAAGTAATTATATCTGTTCCTGTGTGGGTCTTCCTCATGTCTCATAATCCTTTATTTTGTGACATCCTTGCTTCCTCCTTTTTTCCTTTTGAGCTTTAATGTGCATTGAATCCTCCCGCAGCAGTTTATTTCTCTCTCTCTCTCTTTCTACCACTAATAGCCACTTTTACAGAGGCTGACTCACTGTAAATATTTCTGTGGTTAGTCTAATAGCGTTTTATCTTTCTGGGACAATTGGAGCACTTACAGAGTTTTATGTCTATATTTGCAAAAGTCTGTTTCCCATAAGCCTGCGGGAATACGATGTGAGGTTTTTCACTTATTCTACATGTAGATCTATTCAAGTCAACTTCTGAAGTAAAAGTAGTAATACCACAACAAAAGAAAACTGAAATAAAAGTATAGATATCAGATAAATTTATATTTAATCTTTTAAACCACCAATTTGACCTCTTAAAGTATTGTGCAAAAGCCACACGTCACTTCTTTATATTTTGCTACGGAAATGGGAAATAGGTGTAGAGATTTATTAACATTATTTATTTATTAAAATGTGCAAACAATGGATTTAAAATACATAAAGGAAAGTAGAATCTGTATAATACTAACAAGCTTGAAATATTCAATATTTGGTTTGAACGAATTTATTCTTTAACAAAGCCTGAACTCTCTCAGGCAGCTTTCTTGCAATTTTAGTAGTCTTCAGGAATATTTCTCCAGGCTTCTTGAAGATCATTCAAAGCTCTTCTTTGGATGTTGGCTGCCTTTTGTTCTGTTCTCTGTCAAGCTGATCCCACGCTGGTTTAATTAATGGTGAGGTCCGGGGTCTGGGGAGGCCGATCCACAACTGATGTCATGTGTGCTTTTACTACATTGGCAGTGTGTTCGGGATCATTGTCATGCCAAATATTGAAGCCGCTTCCAATCAGACTCTTTCCAGATGTTATTGAATGGTGGATCAATATGTGATGGTACTTTTCTCCATCTATAATTCCATCAGTTTTGATAATGGTGGTGATGATCAGAACCAAATATTGAAATTGTGATTCATCAATTCCATTCATCAATTCAATACCTGTTGTGATTAATTTTCGGTCCACTTCTTGTGTAATTTGACACACCACAGCCTTTCTCCCTGTTTCCCTTCAATAAGAATGGCTTCTTGACACCCACCCTTGCACTGAGAGCTTTTCTGATGAGACTTCAGTGAACAGCAGATGGATTGACTGAAGGCCTAGCAGATTGGGACGTTGCTGGATTTCCCCCCCTGTTTCTTAAGGACATGGCTTTCAGATACTATTCATCTGCTGTACAGAGTATTTAGCCTCCCACTCGTTAATCCAAGAATAAAAAATAGCCATCACAGAAATTGTAAATGAACATAATAGGCGCCCTTTTTATACTAAGTAGTAAATAGCTGTCAAATGTAATTTTTCCCTCAAAAATGTTGTAGTTTTAGATGTTTACATAAAGTACTTCACAGCTGTTCTTAAGCTGAACATACTTTTCCCTGCTGAGTGTAATTTGGATGTAGATGTGTTCACAATTCGTAACAACACATAAAAAATAAACTACTCTGTTAAATTTAAAATCCCTGCATTCACAATATTTCTTGACCTTAGAATACTGACAGATCGACTATAAAGTCTCTTACTTAAGAAGGATAACCAATAAACAGCTGACGAATAAAAGTAAATCTTGCTGTGAAAAATGTAGTCGAGTACTTAAATACATTTAAAATACTTAAAGGGGGAAAAGTATATTACAGTAAACTACCCTGTGATCTATTTCATGATGTATCAGCCTTCATATCTCTCTAGACGAACTCAAGCTCTGGAGTTTAACTGCAGATTGAATTAATATTTATTATTTCTAAAAGGTGTATCTGCTTCACGTTGTTTGGATCACAGCGTTCTTTAAGGACTTCATTCATTTTTCTTTTATTTCCTTTATAAGTCCTCCCCATTGTTGGTACAAAAAAGGCTTGCCCCTTTTTGCTATTTAAATAAAGTTTCATCATCCCTCTTTCCATCACGCGCTCCCTCGCCGCATTGGTGAGAAGGGATGACGCGCATCCTGTACCTGCGAGGGATGCGTGCGTCTTGCGCCGGCTGGGCATGCGGCCTTGGGGGAAGGATGATGGGGATGCGGATGCCATGGCAACAAGCTGATTAGATTCCGACTATTATATGGACATTTATTTATTTAATATTTCATTTGCACGCGCTGGCGGCGCGCTTCTGCGGACGTGTCAGACCGACCTCTGAGTGTTGAGTCAGAAAAGGAAGTAAATTGAGCCGTAAACTGGACTCCATCTGCTCTGCACAATTTCCTGAGGACCAAGGATCAACAAGTTGCTTTTTTTTTTTTTTTATTTAAGGAAGGTTTGAAATTCATGGGAGCGCACAGTTTTACCTCGGAGCAGCTTTCTTCATTTAAATGTAGAGTCTGTAATCTGCCGTTGGTGCCATAAGAGGGGAAGGGACGCCGCCGTATCCCTGTAGACTGGACACAGTGTCATTGAAAAGTGAAGTGAAGTGCATGGCAGCGCCTGCATGTGAGGAAACATGGAATGTGGTGCGTCAGGCTGTGAGAACCTCATCAAGTTAATTGCGGTATCAGGTTTTTTTTATTTTTATAAATTAGCTTTTTTTGTAAAGGAGGAAATCTGTCTGTGTGTCTGACTGCGCTTCAGTCGCGGGTAGATGGGTTTTCCGTCATGGTGAAGGTGTTTTTTCCCGCACGGATACTGAAAATGACAACGTGTGGCGGACTGAGTGAAAACATGGGCTAGACCTGGGGTATTCTGACTTCCTTCCCAGCCGTATTTGTTCCCGTTTTTCCTGTGTGCATGTTCCTGGTTGCTGGTCGAGTGCGTGTCCTTATGAATCAGTGCGTCTCGGAATGAGCGCTCGTTTGTGCCTTTTTTCGTGCGTCCTTTCTGTCCGTTAACAACCCATCCCTCCTAACAGAGTATCGAGTGTCCTTGTCTTTCATCCTCGGATGAATGTTCCCCAGTCTGACACCTTAGCGCCCAAAACATCTCTTACATAATGATATATGATGAAAGGGGCAAAGACTGGGAAGGCAGCCTGGACATATAGGCTACACGGACAGGACACGGACGGCCAATGAGCGTCGAGCGCTCTTATCTACAATAGACCGGGAATCCGGTGCCAATATGACCGGTGTCGGAGCGTTAAGGGCGACTGTGGAGCGGAGAGGGAGGGCCTCGGGCGGAGAGCAGCGTTTCAAGGACGAGGAAGGAGGACTGGCAGAGAAACATCTGTAAGGACAAACAAGACTCTTTAAGAAAAGAGGAAAAGTGAAGCTGCAGGCGTCACAGTGATAGGGGGGGAATATTTTTGTCTGGATGGGGCTTTTTCCAAGGGCACTGAGGTAAGAATGGCCACATCCGCGGAAAGAGGGCGGAAGACTCCGGGAGAATGACTGGAGACTCGCTGCACTTTTCTGTCGCTTCTTCAATTTAACATTCAGAGCGTCATTGACTTTCTCATCTATGTAACCTAGACAGGTCGACAGTACTGAATAGTTATTCTGAGGGGTGGGGGTCACAGGTTATATTGATCCTCCCCTCACACTCCTTCCCTTCCCTGAGTTGGGATGGATGGGGTGGCTGGAGGTGTGGGTACCCCTAGTAGCGCCGGGGGGTCCGGGGGTGACAGCCTGCCCAGGCGTAACGGAGGGGACTCGAAGAGGCGCAGTAAGGGCAGTTTGCCCTCTCCCGGCTACAGGCTGTCCCAGGCCTCGCTGGAGGGAGAAAGGGGCTCCTTTGGGGCAGATAGCACATCCTCAGGTGGACGCGGGCGTCGCCTCTCCATCATGAGCGCCTCCACCAGGGACGGCCTGCCCTTCCGTACAGCAGGCACTCCAACTACCCCGATTCCCTTGCCGCCTCCTCCGTCCTCCTGTTCTGGCACAGCCCATCCTCCTCCGCGATCAGTAGGCTTCGCCTCCCGTGCAGCCCTGGCCTCTACGTCCTCCACTGGGACCGGAGTCATGGTGGTGGCCACCGGTGCAGAGACCACCACAACCACAGCATGCAACACCAATGCAGCAGGAACCCCTGAGATGATGGGTCAGTCTAGCCTGGGTGGGTTTGGCATGGGATTGGACGGGGAAGACTACAGCAACTCCAACCAGAGCACCTTCATCCAGAGACAGTTTGGAGCCATGCTTCAGCCTGGGGTCAACAAGTTCAGTCTGCGCATGTTTGGATCGCACAAAGCTGTGGAACAGGAGCAGGAAAGACTGAAATCAGCAGGAGCGTGGATCATCCACCCCTACAGTGACTTCAGGTATGGAGCCCTCCCACACACACACACACACACACACACACACACACACACACACACACACACACACACACACACACACACACACACCCTCCACAGCAGCTGGTCACTCTGATGTTGGTTTGTGAATTAAATGCCACTTGTAGCATTTTCAATACAGATTATGTTTTTTTCTGAGAAATCTGGATCAAAGCAAGTTGAATTCATGCTCACTTTTACAGAGCACACTTGAAGTATAATGATGGACAATTAACTAGAGAGAGAAAGAGAGAGGAAAAGGAAAACAGATCATGCATTAAGCAACCTCTTCACTTGTTAACAGGGGAAATGGGGAGGAGGACAACTGGGAAAGGAGAAAGAAATGCAGGAGGCTAAATATATATTCCCAGGGCACGGCAGTAGTGCATAGTAAATTACGTCAGGGTTAGAGGAGAAGATGAAGCTTAAAGTGGGGTTGTACAACAAAGACACAGCTACAGGTGCTCATGGAAAGAGCAGTGATCAGGGGCTAAGGTCTCCAAGATAGACAGAACGCTACAATGGCTGGTCTCCATTTCTAAGAGGAACATTTTATTATAGTAGCCTGTTGTTTCCTGGAAATAATCTTTTACAGATATAGACAAAAGGTGCACGTCCCTTTCCAAGTAACTTAGGTAAAAAGTTCAGTATGTTTTCATGTAAAGGTGGCTTAACCAAGCACAGCGCTCCCTGTTGGTGGCTTTACAGAAGGATTAGGATTTTTCTGCCACCTGAGCTGAATAGTTAGTACAGGAATGGGTAAGCCGGGTTTGGTTACTCATTCCTAACGGGTTGTGAAAGATAAGTGCCCCTCCCTGAAACTGCTGGAGGTTTCTTCCTGTTAAAAGGGAGATTTCCTTCCCATTGTCTCCAAGTGCTTGCTCATAGGGGGTCGTCCGATTGTTGGGGATTTCTCTGTATTATTGTAGGGTCTTTACTTTACAATATCGTTGTGATTTATACATCTCTCTACCTCTCTCTCT